AAATCACTGCTAGAGTGCCATGCCCCACACTCTGGGCAGCACTAAAGCTGGGGTGGGTGTGCCATGCTCCCAGGCAGTGCTGAGAGCTGGCTGCCCTTGGCCTTGGCCTTGACCCCACCCCTTCTGGGAGCACAGAACCGCCCCTCCCTCCCCCCCCCCCCCCCCCCCACACACACACATCTTGCCCAGAGGTCCGTAGAAGCTGTTGTCATATATGAGTATTCTGGTCTGATTTTTCTTTTGTCTGCCTCTGAAGACCTCACAATGCAATTTTGATTGGGTCTTGGGAGCTGTTGGCCTACTTGGGAGATCTAGCTGCTGCAAATGGGGTCATGAAGAGCAGCTGTCAAAGGATGGCAAGCAAGAGCTAAAAAATGGGTTATGATGTGGGAAATAACTCTTAAGAGTGGTAGGAGAAGGTGCTTGAGGGATAATATAGGGAGGAAAAGCAGATGAGGGAAGAGAAGAGAGATTCAAGAACCTCCTTGGGGGAACAAGATGCCACAATGCAAAGAGAGATGAAGAGAAGGAGGGGGTTGAAAGAAAAGGAAGAAGTTGCTGAGGAGGAGACAGACAGCAAATATTTAGAAGATGAGCTGGCAATTTGACAAGGCAAGAATAAATCTTGAGGGATTATGGACAAGGTTATTCTGTGAAACTGGTCTCTGATCTGCTGCAGCAGTGAGGGCAGAAGAAGAAAAATAACTATTCTGATGTCTGTACCCTTATATTGAGTCCTGAAGATAAACAAGCCTGCATGCCTCTCTCAGGCCTCACCCTCATTCTCTCATGCACAGTAGAACAGTCATGTTAAATTGTTCCATGAGACAGGAGAGCTACTCAGTCAATGGCTGGATGAATCAGTTAAACTGGACAGTGAACATTGTTTTTTTTCTGAGTCTACAAAAGGCAGTAGCTTTCAGAAAGACAAACATTTCATTTTTATATCATCACTGCACGTCCTATGCAAGAATTTGTAAATCTGCTTTAATACTGCTTTATTATTAAAGTAACTTTATCGTGTAAGCAGGTGTATTTGTTTAAATATTAAGACCAAGTCTATACTCAGAAACTGCTTCAAAATTACTAAATTCAACTTAATACCTCCTGATTTAACAAATTTGAAATAGCATGCCCTCACTATGGGAAAGCATCAAAATTAGTTCCAATTAGTCTGAAAGAGCCTTGAATGTAAAAAGGATCATTTACATTTCTGCTATGAAAATACATGTTTTAAAAAAATGGAACAATCTTTTTGTTAAGTGGTGCTAAAAAAGCCTTACAGTTAGGACAAAATAGGTAGGATTTAAGTGTAAGTTCTTAATGTTCTACTATCTGGGAGTAGCTAGCTGAAATTTCTTGAGCATACTGTTCTTGTTCCTCCTCAGATAAATAGCCACAAGGGAGAAGAGATGAACTTGAGCCAAAAAGTTTGATTCTAAATCTGGATCTGAGTTTTCAGTGGGACTTTCAGTCACACCCAATCTTATAGGGAGCTGTCTAGACACATGAATTTTTAACATATATTTCTGTTAAATTAGATATTCATATACAGTGGCAAGCACTCAAACACCTTATGTGGATTTATGGCACTCCCTGGATGACTCAACATTGAGCAATTGCTCTTAATTGTACTGACTTTGCTCAGCATGACCACCTGAATGTTCAAATATTAAGGCATTTAGCTCTTATTTTCTTAACCACAAGCTGTTTATTGTAATTCACAAACATAAGATGTTAATAATATCAGTATGGCAAGATATTTTCCATTCAATATTATAAAGAAAAAGTTTACTGTATTCTAATGTTTAAGAAGCATTAGTTTGGCTAGTTCCAAAAAAATTGAGGGTTAATAAACGAAATAGAGACTTTTTTTCCCCTCAAAAAAGATCAGGATAAGGGTTACAATAGTCTTTTTAATATCTTCAGTGAAGTTGCAAAACATCTCTACCTAAGGAGCAGAAACAATCTCACATAAACAATGTAGATATAAATGGAGTGCTATTTGACCTGCCTCCACTCATTAGAAATTAGATCAAAAGAATGATGTGCAAAGATTTTTCATTATCAAATTTTAATGAATAAATGACATTCTTATTTATTATTTATCTACTTTTTAAAATAAACCAGTTTATTCTCAATATAATTATTTCATTTGTACTAAAAGAGTTTCCGACAAAAAACTCAGGGCCAGGATCTGCCTTCACTCATACAGGCATAATTTAAATCAGGAGTGTCACAGGCCAGATCTATGCTACAAATAATTATGTTTCTTGGTGGTGTAAAAATCCATACTCCCAAGTGAACTAATTCAGTGTAACTGTTTTGAAATAACCCCCCTTAGGTCAAATTTATAAACAGGTCATCCACACTACCAAGCCTATTATTTCAAAATAAGAGGCCACTTATTTCATAATCTTTACTCCTATATTTCTCAGGGAATAACACTAATTTCAAAATAGTTCTTTCAAAATAGTGTTATTGTGGATGCTCAGTGCTGCTATTTCGAAATTACTACTCCCCAGAGTAATTTGAACTAGTTACTCCTCAGTGTTTCCTGGAGCAATAAATTGAGGTAGCACATCTACATTAAGGGTGCCTGCCTCAGACTAATTTCAAGGCTTCCCCGTAATGGGGACATGCTATTTCAATTTTGTAAAATCAGAAGTTAAGTCAAATTTAGATATTTCAAAATAGTTTCCTAGTGTAGACATGGCATCCGTGAAAAAAAGTAACTCTGCTGAAGTTGGAATAGTAGAATCACGAGGAGGCTTTTCTCACCTAGCCTCAAGCTGCTGCCGTGAATGAGAGCTGGGGTAGTCCACTCTCATTCAGGTCTTCTGTGATTAATTTTGTAACCATTTTATTTACTGAGAACTTTGTAAACATTTCTACACGTGCTTAATTTTATGTGCATGTGTAGTTCCATTAATGTCAATGGGATAACGCACCTGAGTACAGTTAAGCAAGTTAAGGATGGGGTTTGTAGAAACTGGGCTATATATGTTTAGTCATGGTCACTGAAACAACTTGCTGCATTACAAAAGCGAATATAAAAGATGCAGTCAAACATTTATTTTTTAAGGAAATGTGTACCATTAATGAATACAGACTATAGAATTAAAAGAAAAGCATGGGTAGTGGTGAAATAGAAATGATGAGATGACAAATAGAGAATTTATATTGTAATGCTCATGTCCTTAATGCAGGCAATTTTTACAGTATTTTTTTTCAGTGCTGCTTTCCTTCATTCCAAGTCTCCCTCTACTTTTTTAAGAGTTTTCACTTCCCTTTAAAAGGTAAAAGAAACTTCAGAAGCATCTGTTCAACAACACTTGCTGCAAATCCATAGCTCACTATCTAGTCTTCTTTCCCATCAACCGGTCCAATAATCAAAAGAAACATGTTCCTGTTTAGGGTTTTAAAACAGATTACAAAAATAATATTCTCCCATTGTCAGTTTATAAAATACAATCTCCCAAAAAACATGGTCGATATAAAAAGAAATTGTGAGAGGTTAGTGCCATCTATAGACAAAGTTTAGTATTAAGAGAAATAAAAGGTCTGGCTACAGGATCCACAAATAAATTGGTGAATCTAATGAAATGATAGCATGTTTATATACTATATATTTGAGAGTTTGTGTGTGTGTGTTCAAGAACTCCCCCTAAATGGTAAGAGCTCAGATCACCAAGTAAGTATACAGATTCCTCTTATAATAACTTAAAGTAAAGTAAGGGTTTGGTTGTGGAAGGAGAATAGAATGCATCTGGAATGGGACTGTTTGTTATAAAACCATATAGAAAAGAGACAGAATCACCAGGCAGGTAAAAGGAGTTGCAGGGGCATCCCTCTCCGCTGTCTGGGATTGCCTCAGTCCTGAGCCTCCAACCCCACAGGTACCTTGGAGGAGGAGAGGCTGAAGCTTCCCTCCTCAGTTGATATAGGAACATTGCTGGCTGTTTCCCTTCATCAAGGAGGGAGGGGAAAGTGCACAGTTTGCTGCATTCTTCACTCTGGCTGGGAAGTGCAGAGAACAGACAAACCTGAACCTGTCCCAGCTGGGGGACATGCACCTTTCCTCCTCCTGTGCCCACTGGCACTGCTACAGCCATGGAGAGACACTTCTTTACCTGACCCCAACCTGCTGCATTGAGTGAGGGATGGCTCTCCCCAGGACAGCCTGCATACTGAACCCTCATCCTCAGTCCAACCCCAGAGCAATGAAGCATGTACATTTTATTTTCCAAAAAAATTGAAGGACCAAAGCAACACATAGAAAATCTTCTAGTAATATATAAATAAATGCCTACCTGTTCTCAGTATACTGTGAAGTTTCACTTTCTTCCCATCACTCCCTCAGTTAGGGTATGTCTACACTAGCTCGTTAATTCGAGCTAGGTAGGCAAATCAGGCAACCGGAGTTCAAATAAAGCCTGGGATTTAAATATCCTGGGCTTTATTTTCATGTTCCCGTCCGGCCGCCATTTTTAAATCCTCCTTAGTTCGAATGAACTGCCCGCGGCTACATGCGGCAGTTTAGTTAATCCTTAGTTCGGATTAACTGTTACACCTCATTCCACAAGGTTTCCTGATTTGCCTACCTAGCTCGAATTAACGAGCTAGTGTAGACATACCCTTAAGGAGTTACTACACAGATTATAGAGCTGGAAAAGTTTTACGAGAATCAAAAAGTTTAAAATAAACATTCACTTCTTAGGGAAGCCTCTGAACTTCAGTTTATAAATCCCTGTATAAAAATCCATAACATACTGCATGACAAACATTACCACACAATCACTATGCTTTTTGTTTCTTCCAATTTGTCACCTAAATCACAGAGAACATGATCTTGCAGAGATTAAGCACATGAGTAATTTTAGTCAGAAGAATTATTTCATTAACTTCAGTAGTACCGCTCATATAACCAAAGCTACTCACATGTTTATCCTTCCAGGATCAAATCCTTACATGATAATATTTTTTGCGGAAAGGACCTTGTTTTCATTCTTCTCCACATAGCACTCAGGGTCAGAATTTTTAGGCACCTGAAGATGAAGCAGGCACAGAATAAGATTTACAAATCACATATCTGCATTTAGTCAACCATATACCTTTGTAAATCTATACCATTACACATTGTTGGCTCAATAAAAAGAGGGTTGGACATGAAGGTGGATCAGGTTCCAAGAAAACATCATGTGCTATCAATACCATTAATAACATTTATTGGGACACAACCTTCTTTCAATAGCTACCACATGTGAAAAGAAAAAAACTCAACTGCAACTGATCATGGAATCTCTTCACAAATGGCCAGTCTCCCCAAGTTACTTTAAGGAACCTTCCTTCCTTCCCTAGCTTATGTAGCCCATTGTACTCAGATTTGCTCTATTGCAAGACTCATAATGAAGGGGAACTTAGGATCATAAAAATCCATATAAAAACATTGTCTTGTACAGTTCTAAGCATTAGCAAGAAAGTGGTACATATTAAACATATTATAGCAAGGGTGGGCAATAAAATGGCAGCAATTCACCAAGGTTAGTCCGTGTCAGGCCTCCACTACTATATTTACCTGTGCCTCTGAAGGTATGAGCAGTTGCAGCTCTCACTTGCTGCAGATTTCTTTTCCCTGCTAATGGGAGCTGCTGGAAATGTTGTGAACAGGGACACCACTTTCTGCAGCTCCCATTGGCTGGGAATGGCGATCTGTGGCCAACAGGAGCTACAATCGCCCATACCTGTGGAGATGCAGGTAAATAGAGAGACCTGGGGAAGCAGATTCAGCCCACAGGCCAGTATTTGCCCACTCCTGTACTATTGGCTAAACTGTTACCTTGAAAATAATAATTAAAAGCTCTCTGATTCTATAAAGTATCATGTTGTATTAAATATGTAACTGACTTTGTAGTGTTGAAAGCCTACCAAATTCAGTTAGAAAAAAATAGCAAATTCAAAATGTGATGTGATAAAAACAATCCCCCCCTCTCCCCAAAGCAATATGATTTGCATTTAATTTTTAATAAAAAAACTAATACAATTGACATAACTATTCAGGAATAGCTATGATAACACTGAATTAATTTTCTGGCACATTTAAAACCCATTCCTGTGCAGTAGTTCAATCAGTTTTGTATGCATATTTATGTTAACATAGTTGGTCTCGTAGAAGCACTTCAAATACTGCATTTGTATAAAAAAAACGTCAAGAATAAAATTGCTTTGAAATGTGTTTGCAATTTTGCTGCTACAACTTACAGCACTGGGCATGCTGGCCTAATGTGAGCTATAACAATACACATTTGGTTTCTTCAGTAGATGCAAAATGCCTTTACAAATAGTTTTTCTTTTAGACTACTTCAGTAGCATCAGAAATTGTAGTAAAGGAATTCTAAATGGAATTAGGTCATTTAGGTTGCTTAAATTTTAAGTTTATATGGCATCCCTCAGTGGTTTCCCTAGCCTCTGGACAGATTTAATTATGAACTGAACTTGCAAAAAGCAGATAACTAAATCTATGAAAGAAGCAGATTATTAATCTTATTAAACAGTCTAGTAACTGATGCAAGCTTCAACCAAAGCAAAAATTAAAATGTTAGATGGCCTCCAACAGGATATTTGTGCTATAATAAATAACACACAGCATCCAATCTTCAGCTGCATGTATCTGATTTCAGTTACACCACTGACATGGTGAAGGTGGCTCATGTGAGCTGCTAGATAATGAAGACAGACTATGTTTTTGGCAGCTTTCTGTGCACAGAAAGCTTTGATACTGTACATTGATATAAACCAGCCTGGGTTTAAAGAAACAATCCAGTGGGTTTCTGCAGCAAGAGCCTAATCTTCTGATCTCCCAACACACACTTCCTATGTAAAACATTAGTCAAATTTTCAGTGCTTCTGGGAAAAAAATAATTTCGCTAGCTCTTCCTCCAAGCCTTTTTAGCAGACTTGAAATCACAGAAGGTGGGAAGCACACATTGAGATCACAGAAAATGGGCATTGTTATGCTTTTGGCGAGATAGGACAGCAGAAACTTGTTTTTGCAGAACAGCTCTAAAATGATTAAACTGGCTTTGTTCAGATGTTGAGCCTTCACCGAGGCTGAGAATTAGCCAGCTGCTGCTCACTCAGGCAGCTACCATCCTACAGGTGCTGCTTCTACTTCTGCAGCCATGGAAACTGCTGTACGAGAAACTTTCCTTCTGTCTCTTGTGAGTGCCTATAGACTATAATTTAATCAGCCTCCCTTCCTTTGCTTGTTGCTCCAGAGAACATGAGAAGGAGAAAGAGGTGGGGCAAAATTCCTGTAGAAAGTCCTGCAGGTTCTACAAGTTTCTCCATAGTTATGGCTTTTAGTACTGGGAGGGAACCTGGAGTTATATGGGATGCCCCTCCCATGCTTTATGGAAATTAATATATAAATATGCATACAATTTGAAAATGCTTTATGCAAAACAGGTCATGTAACACATCAATGTTAATTACAATCTGCTGAATCTGAATATTTTTGTGCCTGTATCATTCTTGTATGTGAAGTTAGAAATATGAAGGGTGGATCTGTTTATAACTGTAAATGTGCTAATCAGGGCCATCTCTGATGCCCTGGAAACCTAATGGCTCAGTGATCAACTCAACAACCTGTGTTCAATAATCTTGTTTTTTCCCATGAGTCCAAACTGTGGCTGGTCCTAGAAAGACTTGTGAGTGATCATGCCACCTGGCACTGGAATAAATCTTGAACCAGGTCTCTTTCCATAAGGATGGGGAATGCCAAACTAGGGTTCCCACCCTGGGGGAAAATCTATTTAAGCAATGAGAAGTAATCAGTCTTTGTCTTCAGCTGGCTTTTGAAACTTGAAAGAGTTACATATGGTAATCTTTAGGCACAGGCGCAATCTTATGCAACCCAATAGGCTAACTCATATGTGTAAAGCTAAGCATTTATGTAACACTTTCAGTATCATGGCTCCAGGTCTAAAGTCTGCCAAAGTTTGGGAGTGTTTTGATCAGGGAGATACAGCTAAACCAAACATAAGAATTTGAGTCTCTTTTTCTTCATACTCCTCAACCTCTGCTTGACTGCCTAGAATAAGGGTCCTCAAACTTTTTGTGATGGGTTCCCTCTGAAAATATTTCAGGCTGTGATGACTCCTACCCCAAAGTGATAACAATTTACTGTACACACATACTCATACATGCACTAAATGAGAAGGTAATCATGATCCCTGCAGTCAAAGGTGCTGAAGCTTTTCAAAAAGCGTAAAGGACCAATTTTCAGGACTATGTGGACTAGTAAGAAGGAAGGAAGCCCTGTCCCTAGGGGGTTGTGCCTTCCTGCCCTCACACAGCCCAGCACAGCCTGGTAGGAGGTGGCTCCTGGGTTGTTTTGTGGCGGAGGAGATGGTAGGGGGGCAGGCACCTCCAAAAGGCTCAGGCACTCCCTCTCTCATTCTCTGTTTTGTGTGTTTCTTTGTCTCCTACTGCAGGTTGTGAGGGTCATCACCTTGATCATGCTGCGGAGGAGACCTGGACCCGATCGTGGCTGGATTTGCTGCCCTGGGGTACCCGAACTGTGCTGGAGCCATAGATGGGAACCACATCCTGATCTACGCACCTGACCATTGAGCGGCCCAGTACATTAATTAGTAGGGCTACTTTTCTATGGTGCTGCAACCCCTGGTCAACTACTGTGGACACTTCATGGACGTTTTTGTGGGGTGGTTGGGCAGGGCACATGATGTCTTTAGAAACTCCAGCCTGTACCACAAGCTGGAGGCAGGCACATTCTTCCTCTGCCAGGACTTCGTGGTTGGGGATGTGCAGATGCCACTGTGCATCATGGGGAACACGGCCTACCCCTTCATTCCATATCTGATGAAGCCATATACCGGTCACCTGGGCCCCAGCAGGAACCAATTCAATGCCCACCTGAACTGGGCCAGGATTCAGGTCGAGAGTGCCTTCAGCCATCTCAAGGCACATTTCCAGTGCCTGCTGACCCACCTTAATGTGGGGGAGAACAACATCCCTGAGGTAGTCGCGGCATGTTGTGTCCTCCACAACATTGTGGAGAGGAAGGGGGAGGCCTTCCTCCTGGCGTGAGGGGCAGACTCTGGTAGCGAGGGGGTGAGCGTTCAAGCAGCCAAGAACAGCCGGAGTGTGCATACAGGAGGCCCTGGGGGAGAGGTTCTCTCAAGGACCCCAGTAACTCTCCCCAGGGCCTCCCCAATAAGGGCCCCTGGCTTGGTGCTCTATCCCTTACTCACCACAACCCCTCGCTTTGCCCCTTCCCCGACCTCTCAATAAACACACCTGTTTGGTTTTCCACAAAAACAAAGTGTATTTATGTAAACCTCGTTGCATGAGGCATAAGGGATCGGTAGGAAAAGGCTTTCCTTGTCGACCAATCTCTGTCTAGACTGCTGCTTTTTGCTGGCAAAGTGCTGCATCGGCAAAAAGCAGTGGCCATTTCTATTCAAATGAAGCATGGGATATTTAAACCCCCGCTTCATTTGCAATAGCGATGTGCCTAATCTACATCCCTCTGTCAGCAGAGCGGTATAGTTTAGACACACCCCTTGTGGCTAGCCTGCTTCCAGCCATGGAATTCCCTCCTCCCTCTGGCAGGACGTGTGTGGCCTTCCCGAGCCTGGAATCAGAATCCAAGCCATGCTCAGGTGCTGCCTGATGCATCTGCATGCCACACACTAACGCTGAATGTGGTTACACATGCACGGACCACAGCACCATGTCCAGCCTGAGCAACACTTGCCCCGCATCTCCTGTACACCCATCTCCCCCACCCTGTGTGTGTGAGACAAAGTCATAACACTCACCTGAAGATCCCTCCCAGGCTTCTGAGGAGACCTGGATGCAATAGCGATGTGCCTAATCTACATCCCTCTGTCAGCAGAGCGGTATAGTTTAGACACACCCCTTGTGGCTAGCCTGCTTCCAGCCATGGAATTCCCTCCTCCCTCTGGCAGGACGTGTGTGGCCTTCCCGAGCCTGGAATCAGAATCCAAGCCATGCTCAGGTGCTGCCTGATGCATCTGCATGCCACACACTAACGCTGAATGTGGTTACACATGCACGGACCACAGCACCATGTCCAGCCTGAGCAACACTTGCCCCGCATCTCCTGTACACCCATCTCCCCCACCCTGTGTGTGTGAGACAAAGTCATAACACTCACCTGAAGATCCCTCCCAGGCTTCTGAGGAGACCTGGAAGATGTCCTGGCTCACAGGCACTGGCTCCAGGGAGAGAGTCATGGTGTCCATCTCCTCCTTCTCCACCTCCAACTGTCCCTGGCCCTCCTGCTCCTCCTCCGCCAAGACCTCCAGCCAGGCAATGATGGGGGTCTCCAGGATGGAGTCCACTAGGACAGGTGGGGAAGATGCTTCCTCACCCCCCCAGAATCTGGTGCAGGTCGTCGAAGTAGGAGCAGGTGTGGGGTCCTGCCCCTGAGCGCGAGCTGCACTCTCTGGCCCAGACATATCCCTGGCAGAGCTCCTTTACCTTACTTCAGACCCATTCCAAGGTCTAGGGTGGGTGCCCGTGCTCCGTTAGGGGCTCAGACATCTGGCCATAAATGTCTGCCTTGCGATGCTTGGCCCAGAGATCTTGCAATGTGTCCTCCTTGCCCCACAGCTCAAGCAGGGACAGGATCTCTGATCCAGACCAGGAGGTTACCCACCTCTTGGTCCCCCTGGGTGGGTCCTGGTACTCCTGGGGCTGCTCCTTGCAATGGATGGCAAGGCCTGCGGCAGGGAGAGCTATGTGGTGAGTTGCTGCTCTGAGGCCAGCCTCCTACCACAAGGCTTGTCCAGGGTGTCTGCAGCTTTAAGAAGGGCCAGGAGACAGGAACTAAAGAGTTGTGATTACTTTGTATGGAGTGGCCACCAGAGCACCTGTGCTATTTCCTGGAGGCCTCTTCTTTCGGGAAAAAAAACCCTCCTCCCCATCCACACTCACCTTTTTCCGAAAGAGATCTTTTAGAAAAGGCATTCTTCCTCATAGAAAGAGGATTACCAATGTCGGAAAAAGCCCTCTGTTCTTTCAATTTACTTTTGAAAGAACGTGATTGCAATGTGGACATTCTGCAAAACTCTGTAGTGTACACTTACCCATAGTCTGCTTCCAACGAAACCCAAAATTCGGCCAGAGGCTGGGATTGGAATCACTGCTTCAGAATAAAATCACAGAAGAGGTCAATCAATTCCTCTTGAGCTTTCAAGGAGAGATTTGAATTTGGAAATAACTGGTAGTTGAATGGATTTCTTATCCCCTTAAATGTGGTTGGGTCAATGTAGTGAGGTGAATTGGCTGCCTACAACCAGAAAGGAGAGGAGAAATGAAACCATGTGAGCAGAACCACGCCACACACAACCCTCCCACCAAAAGTCAGTGGACAGGGCCAGAAATACAAAAGCCAGGACAGAAAACACCGTGGAGGCCAGCTGCCAGAGCAATCAGACAACTCCTGTGAGCTTCCACGCTAGGAGTCTGCTGCAGACACTGAGGGAACTGAAGACTGGCCAGGGCCACCAGGGCTATTGATAGATCTGAGCCCTTAGGAGGAGCACTTACAGAGACTGCCTAGCCTGATGACTGAGAGGATCATCTATAGAGCTTGAGGGGGAATTAGAAAGTAGCCAAGGGCTAGCCAACTCCTGTCGGCTGCAATGCTGCCAGTGAGTGAGTCAGCGACTCAGCGTGTTGCTCCCTGCAGATCCACTGGCAGACTGTTCTGTCAGTGCTAGGACCTTGGGCTGGGATGCAGTAGTGTGGAAGGCTCCCCGTCTCTTAGGCAAGAACCCTGCACTTGTCAGCTCTTACACATAGCTAGGAGGACTGTTTTGCTGCACAGTGTGATTGCAGGCTGGAGCCCACAGACTCTCTACTGCCCCACCAGTAAAGGGCCTGTGCTGACTGGCTGTCCAGCCTGAGCTAGACAGTCTTGGCCTCCCCACACTGATCTGGGGCTGGGGCTCTGAAACTGTGTATGTGATTTTGCCCTGATTACAGACTTGCGCTGACATCTCCCATTGCCCTGCTGATTTTCCACATCCTCCAGAGACATAGTGAGGTGGGTTGGCCTCCCACAGAACCGGGGGGAGGGCCCATTCTCTGCAATGGAATACCATCACAATCAGCACAATACAGGAGACTTCCGATAATCCGGAACCTATGGGATTTAGGTGGTGCCGGATTATCAGATATGCCGGACTCTCAGGAGGTAATATAAGCAGGTTATATATATACTGTATACATTATATACTGTATATAAAGTGTTCTTAACCCTTTTTATTGTACATACTGTATACAGTATACTGTAATGTTTTAGTTTTTTTAAGCCTTTTTTACCCTTTTTGCTCAGTTCAGCTGCTGCCACTGTTACCTTGTGACTCATTTTTTGCCGAAGCTCACTCACTAGGCTCTTG